ATACCTTAAATGCCTATTAATAAAAAACTGGTTAGTATATTTTGACATATTCATAAAATGGAATAAGATTTAGCCTTTAAAAGGAATGAGGTAACTCATCACATGTACTGACACGGAATGATCACCAAGATTTACTGATAAGGAAGAAAAGCAAGTGCTCGAATTTACTAACACTTCAGTTTAAAAATAGATATAGGGCTATAGGTTGTGTGTGTGTGCGCACACGCATATGGGGGTACATATGTTTGTATGGACAGATCATCTCATACCTGCCTTTGGAAAGAATATGTGGGCTACTGGGGTCAAAATTGGAGGGTACATTTTTCCCTTTTCAAATGATTGTTCTTATTAAATATAATATTCATGCAAAAAATGTATGAAACATAACTTATGTCAACTTAACTAATTATTCAAAGCAAATACCTTCATAATTCTCACCCCGGTCTGGAAATAGCACATTGCCAGCTCCTTGCCCAGAAGCCTTCCTCATGCCTCTTTCCCTACCCTCCCCCACCCCCAGTTAAAGAAACCACTATTAGCCAGCCGTGGTAGCACGCGCCTGTAGTTCCAGCTACTCGGAAGGCTGAGGCGGAAGGATCGCCGGAGCCCAGCAGGTGGAGGCTGTGGTGGCCGGGAGTGGCCGCTGCACTCCAGTCTGGGCGACAGAGTGAGACTCCAACTCAAAAAGAAAAAAAAAAAGAAAAAGAAAAAAGAAATCACTATCCTGCATCTGATTGCAAGCACTTCCTTGCTTTCAAATCTTGCCACCTACACATGCAACCCAATACTATATAGTTTTCTCTAGCCGGGTTCAGTGGCTCAGCCTGTAATCCCGCAGTTTGGGAGGCTGAGGTGAGTGGATTGCCTGAGCCCGTGGGTTGAAGACCCGCCTGGACTGCGAGACCTCATCTCTACAATAAATCAAAAATCAGCGTGGTAGCTGACCTGATCTCTACAATAAATCAAAAATCAGGCGTGGTAGCGCATGCCTGTAATTCTGGCTACTAGGAAGGCTGAGGCGGAAGGATCGCCGGAACCCAGCAGGTCGAGGCTGCGGTGGCCGGGAGCAGCCACTGCACTCCAGTCTGGGTGACAGAGTGAGACTCCAACTCAAAAAAAAAAATACTATATAGTTTTCTCTATCATAGAATTTTATATAAATTGAAATAAATACAACAAATTCTTTTGTCTGGCTTATTTCACTCAATATTATGTTCAATTTATTTATCCATCCTATTATTGGTGGGTATTTTTGTTATTTCCAGTTTCTGACTATTATAAGTGATGTTACAATGAGCTTTATTCATGTGTTGTAATACATCAGTCAAGGATTTCCAGAGACTGTCTTCCTAGGAGAATTGTTTCCTCATATGGTCTACATATGTTTGGATGAAGAAGGTTAAAATGTTTTCCAGAGACCAATTTACACTCCTATCAGCAGCATCTGGGAGCTCCTCATCCTTGCTAACACTTGTAATTGCCAGTCTTCTAAACTTTAGCCATTCTGGTGGAGACATAGTTGTATTATATTGTGGTTTAAATGTACATTTCCCTGATGACTAATGAGATTGGACACTGTCTCAAGTTATATTAGCCATTTGAATATCTTCATTTGCTACATATATATTCCATAAGGCCTCTGAAGCCTGTGTAGTCTGCTGTTTTTGTTGTTCTTTATATATTCTGGGTATACATCCTCTGTTGTTTATATCTTCTCCCACTCTGTGGATTGCAATTTTCTTCCTAATGGAAACAATTATCATAAAAGTCAGGGTAATAGTAATCTTTGGGAGTAGGGAGATTGCAGAATGCTGACTATGGACTCTTATAAGGATAAATCACTTTGTTGTACATGTCTGTTTTGTATGCTTTTCTGTATGTATATTATATTTCACAATAAAAACATTTTCAAAAGACAGACTTAGCTTATGACTCATTAACTCCATCCCATATATATACTTAAGAGAGGGTGTCACTTGCGCATGAGATGTGAACAAGAATGTTCATAGCAGCATTATTTATAATTCATATATTTTAAATGAAATAAATTGATAAAAATCACTTTAGTAGGTCACCCTTTGTGAAATAAAAAGGAGGAAATGAGAACGTGTTCTCAGCTGCTCTTATTTTCATAAAGAAACCCTAATCATACAGAGAAAACTAACTAATCTGGTTATATGTATTAGGACTGAGCAGGTAGGGGGAAGTTGGATGAGAGAATTAAACTACACAGGCTGATTATCCCTTATATGAAATACTTGGAACCAGAAGTGTTTAAGAATTTGGATTTTTTTGGATTTGGGAATATTTGCATTATACTTAGATTGAGCATCCCTAATCAAAAAATCCCAAATCTGAAATGCTCTGATGAACATTTCCTTTGACCATCATGTCAGCATTCAAAAAGTTTCAAATTTTGGAGCATTTTGGGTCTCAGATTTTCAGGTTAAGGATACTTGACAAGTACAGATTTTTGTATGTTTTTATTTTTTGAGTCATCTGTCTATATTATTATTTAAAAAATTAAGTGTAAAAAACTATTACTAATATCCTTAGAGTGATAAGATACTGCATCCATAAAACAAAGAGTATAGGCCTATTCTGAAAAGAGTTAATTAAAATAAAAAATATAACAGCATTAATGAAAGACACAAACAAAGATTTGAAAGATAAAGTTTAAAAAAAACCACTAGAAAGGAGAGCAAAGGAGACAGAAATGGAAATTTGAATACACAGAATAGAGATTTAAATACCTGAGAAGAATTTGGAGTTGAGTTATTGATAATATATACTTTAAAGCAAACAAATGACTAAGTCAGAAAATTGCTAATACCGGGGGAAAAGAAGCAAAACAGTAAAGCAAAGAAAAAAAAGGAGGAGCAACAACAAAATAAGAAGAATTTTTTGAAAAGCAGAGAAAATGTATATGTGAGTAGAAAAGGCCTAGGAAGACCTTGGAAACAGACTTTTAAAATTCAGCATAAAAATGCTTTACAACCTAGAATTCTATAGTCAGTCAAAAAGACAAATTTAGTGTCAGGGTCAAATAAATATATTGTCATAGCATTAATGTGTACATTTCTATAAATAAATGTATACAATTATGCATATTAAATAAATATATGAGTGGGGACCCCCCAAACCTGGAATTTATTTATAAAAAATTGTGTATTTATTCTTACATGTTTAAATTTCAGTTATCTTCAAAGTACTCTCCATTTGATACAACACACCTATTGAGATACTTTTTCCACTGCTCAAAACAGTTTTTGAACTTGTCAATTTTGATGACTTTTAGTGCTTCTGCTGTTTTTGGTTTCACCTCTTCCACACTGGCAAAATGTTTCCCTTTGAGGACTTTTTACATCTAGGGAAGCAACAGTTTCTCTTCCCTGGTGAATAGGGAGGGTGGGGCACAGGGGTCATGCCACTTTTGGTTAAAAACTGCTGAACACTCAGTGTGGTGTGGACAGGTGTGCTTGTAAATCACCCATTATGAAATGGGCAAACATACTGAAAGAATCTCCAACAAAAAATATGCACTGAAGCTTAACACAGCCTCTCACAACAATGCTAGCTGGTATACTGATGTCCATGGGTTCCTAGAACACTTGCTTAGCAGGGGAAGCCTGTAATACAAGGGAGCGCTCTTCACAAAAAAATTCCGGGTTTTTTTTTTTTTTTTTTTTGGCCCCCTTGTATTTTTGCGTGACATTTTCAGATATGCAAAGTTTCATAAAATTTATTCATCATGCATCCATGTTCAAGGATATACTGGAAAAATGTGCCCCTACAAAATGAAGAGGTAAGCTAAGAGAAAGGAAGACATGGGCTTCAGGAAACAGGAGCTCTAACCCAAAACAGAAATAAAGGAAGTTTACTGGGAAATGATGAAGATAATGTCTTTGTGTCAGTCTGAGAGAGCAACCAGTCCAGACTTCAGCAAGTCAAGCTCCGGGAGAGATTTTTTCAAATGAAAGACAATGATGCTCAGAATTGAGAGCAGCCCCACCTATTACTGGCTGTGTGTGTAAACTTGGGCCAGATAGTTTTTTTCTATGCCCCAGCTTTCCTTTCTGTAAAATAGGGATAATAATGGCACCTACTTCATGAGGCTGTTGTGAAGATGAGTAAATACATGTAGAGTGTGCATATAACAGTGCTGGGCATGGAGTAAACATTGCACAAACTTCATAATTATTATCATTATGATTATTACCTAATATGCTTAAATATACAGAAAAGAGATTTAAACACCTGGGAAGAATTTGGAGTTGAATTATTGATATGTACACAGTAAAGCAAACAATTTTCTGAATAAGCCAGAAAAGTGTTAATACCAGTGAAAAGAAACAGTTATACAGAAATAGTCATCATAGCATCGATACTATGAGATTCAACTATAAATTGTCATGGTAATCAACACTGACTGTGGATCTCACCATAATAAGGATACACCTGTCTCAGGAAGATGGGGTTACAGGAAATGTGTACATGAGCGGGGGTGTACAGAAAAGCTCAATCTCTATCTTCCACAGTGGAAAGTCCAATAGATAATGCCCAAAAACCTAAAAAATATGTAAAAGATTGAGTGCTTGCCTCTGGGGAACTGGAACCTGGGAGAAAACAAAGCAGAGAAGAGCCATTTTTAAACACAAGACTTAGAGAACTATTTGATATCTTTTACCACTTGTAAACTAACTTCAAATTACAAAGTGGCAAAAATATCCACCAAAATATACAAGAATGACAAAGGGCTATTAACCTTTATGTTTTCAAAAACCTCTTTAAAAATCCATATGCTGAGATAAATAAACCAGCATTGGGCAGGGGAAGGAAATTCATAAAAGGGAAATAAATGACCAGTAAAAATGTGGGGTAGAAATTATCCTGCCTGGTAAAAAAATAATACAAATGAAAACAATGAGATAGTATCTTTTCTTCAGGCTCTGAAGCCCTGGATGAATTCCTTCCCCTGAGCACCTCTTCCTCCTCCTCACCTCACAGGTGTTGTCATGTTCCCCTGGCTGGGGAGAATCCCCATTAGCTGGCATGTTCCTTCTGGACTTCAGTCCTGGATCTCTCTTGTGGACAACTCTGCTCTTCCCAGGAGCCTGAAGTCTTGCAGAGTCTGCAGACTCAACTGGAGATGTTGGGGTGAGAAGGAAGATCCTGCAGCCTTCACTGGTGTCTGGCCCAGGAACTCTGTCGAGACTCCAAGAACCCTGGAAAGACAGTGTCCATATATTCAGTCATTCAGCAATCACCACACAAACATTTCCTGGGGCCACCAAAGTATAGTTCACCGCACTGTATACTGTGGGGTAGACAAAGTCCTGGAAACACATATTCTAGTTATTCCTTAAAAGGGAATATGAGTGAGACCATGGGATTTGGACTAAAATTAATAAAGGTTTAAATTCTAGCTCTGCCAACTTTTAGCTATGAGAACATGAAAAAGCTTCTTCAGTTTTATTGTTCAAATTAAATTGAAACTGCATATCTCAAGTGAGTGTAGAAATTAAATGAGATGATGTTTGTAAGGCACTTAGCACCATACTAGCACAAGGTGAACATTTAACACATGTTAGCAATTATTGCTATTATGAGGAACCATGTAATGTGCAAAAGCAGGTACCTCATTTAATTTGCACAATAATCCTGTCATCTATGTGTTACCATAATTACTATTATTTCATTTTATGCATACAGTAACAGAGGTTTAATGGCGGTAAGTCAAACCCTGGTCTACCCGGCTCCAAAGTTGATGCTGTCAAGGTTATATCACACAATACCTTTTACGTGGCAGGCTTGAAATAACGTGGTTCTGTTTAACAGATGGTGAAAATATGACCATGAATTAAGAATAAAAAAGTTAAATAAAATTTTTTGAAACAGGAGAGAAATGCCATAAGGAAAATATTAATAGCCTAGGACTAAAGTTTTTTAATTATCTCAAAAATATCCAGAGGTAAAACTATTTCCCCTGTTGAGTGAACTAGGGATGAGAGGATGTCTCTGTGTCCAAGTTGAGGTACACTTTTATTCCAATCAACTATTAAAGACACTATAGATTTAGTCATTCTTGCTAGGAAAAGCAAAATATCCACTTAAAATGAAGAGGAACTTAAGAAAATAGAAATAAGAACGGGATAAAGAGGGGGAAAAAGCAAAATAAAGAGAATAATAAAATAAAACAAGTTAAAATTTAAACAAGTTAAAATTTAAAACATAAAAAGTTAAAATTTAAAACATAAAAAGGATGTTATACAAGAGAAAGAGAGAATATGCTTTCTTCTCTTATACCATGGAACTTTTACAAAATTCCTTCAAATAACTTGGCCAAAAAGAAAAGTTGAAAAGACTCCAACTCAAAAAAAAAAAAAGAAAAAAAAAGAAAAAATCTTTTAATGTTAAGAATTGACAGGCAGCCGGGCTCGGTGGCTCAGCCTGTAATCTCGCGCCTTTGGGAGGCTGAGGTGAGTGGATTGCCTGAGCCCGTGGGTTCGAGACTCGCCTGGGCAGCGAGACCTCATCTCTACAATAAATCAAAAAATCAGCCGGGCGTGGTAGCGCATGCCTGTAATTCCGGCTACTTGGAAGGCTGAGGCGAAAGGATCGCTGGAGCCCAGCAGGTCGAGGTTGCGGTGGCCGGGAGCAGCCACTGCACTCCAGTCTGGGCGACAGAGTGAGACTCCAACTCAAAAAAAAAGAATTGACAGGCTATATTCTTTGATCATAGTATAAGATGTCCAACCTCATGAGTTATCAGGAAAATGCAAATCCAAAATAAAATCTTCCGTTCATTTCTTATTTTAGCTAAGATAGCTAAAATAAGAAAAAAAGACAATAACAAGTGTTGATAGGATATAAATAAATTGGAGCTCTCATACATTACTGTTAGGATTGTAAAATGGTACATTCACTCTGAACAACAGTTTGGTAGTTCTTCCAAAAGTTAACCATAAAGTCACCATATGACTCAGCAATTTCACTCCTAGGTTTCTACCCAAGAGAAATAAAAAAAAACACATGTCCATTCTGAACTTGTACACACAGCAGTATTACTCATAGTAGCCAAAAAGTGGAAACAATTCAAATGCCTGCTAACTGATGAAATCCAGTACCTTTATATATTGGAATATTACTTGGCAGTAAAAAAAGTACTGATATCTGCTATAATATGTATTAACCTTGAAACCACTATCCTATGTGAAAGAAGTCAGTCACAAACGACCACATATTTATGAATCCAATCATGTAAAATGTCCATAATAGGCAAATCCATAGAGACAGAAGATAGATTAGTGGCTGCCTAGGGCTGAAGGATATGGGATAACATGAATGGTGAATGTCTGCTAAATGAGGACAGGGTTTCTTGTTGGGGTGTTAAAAAAGCTCTAAAATTAGACTATGATGATAGCTGTAAAACTCTGTGAATATCTAAAAACCACTGAGTTGTATACTTTAAATGGGTGAATATTATGGTATTAGAATATATCTAAATAAATCTGTTTTTTAAAAAGGGAAATAAGAGAAACTTTTTCCTAAATAACCCAACATCAAATTGGGAAATCAATACAGAAGCTATATAAATATTACCAGAAGTTATGAAATACAAAATCATATTTAGAGTGAAATTTACAGCTTTAAATGAGTTTATTTTTCATTAAAAATAAATACATCCCCAAATGAGCTATGTATTCAACCTAAAAAGTCAGAGGTAGAAAAAACAAAATAAAGCAAAACATACCAAGTACAGTGGCTCACGCCTATAATCCCAGCACTTTGCCAGACGTTTGAGATCAGCCTGGCCAACACAGCGAGACTCTGACTCTACAAAAAATAAAAAATTATCTGGACATAATGGCATGGCACATGCTTTTAGTTATAGCCAATTGGGAGTCTGAGGCAGGAGGATCACTTGAGCCCAGGTGGCCAAATTTGCAGTGAACCATGACCACTACATTTCAGCCTGGGCAACAGGATAAGACCCTGTCTCAAAAACAAAAACAAAAACAAAAACAAGAAAGCAATTAATAAAAATAAAACTCTAAAATAAATATAACAATAGGCAGTAAAAAAAAAAAGATCTGGTCCTTTGAAATGACCAATGTCTCTAGCAAAGCAGAGAGTCAAATAGGACAGTATTCAAAGCAGTTATTGTGAAATAGTATGCACACCTACATAGCAACGCATTTTAATAGTGCTGTGAAACAACTGCTTCCCTAGTAAAATGCAAATTAACAAAGTTAATACAAATAAAAAGTGAAAGAAGAGACTGTGAGACGAGATCAGAAAAAAATTGACATAACAACAAACATAAATAGGAAGACTCTGAAAGGTAGAAAGGTAACATGGATAGCCTACAGACCTCAGGACATGAGAAACAGCACAGTGGTGAGCTCCCTGGATTTTTTTTTACCTGCCAGTATATCAACAAAAGGTACTAAAGACACTTAACAATTCCGAATCACCAACAGGAACAGACCAGAAAAAACAAAGCTCCAAGCAAAGTCACTCCTGTTGATTAAAGGACCAGGAAAAAGGTGATGTCACTGAACAGAAAAATCTTTTTTGAAAATATCTGGGCTTCCGGGCATGGTGGCTCATGCCTGTAATCCCAGCACTTTGGGAGGTGAAGGTGAGAGGATTGCCTGAGTCCAGGGGTTCAAGATCAGCCTGGGCAATTTGGCAAGACCTCGTCTCTACAATAAATAAAAAAAAATTAGCCAGGCATGGTGGCACATGCTTGTGGTTCCAGCTACTTGGAAGGCTGAGGTAGAAGGATCGTCTGAGCCCAGCAAGTTGAGGCTGCAGTGGCCGTGAGCGTGTCACTGTACTCCAGCCTGGGCAACAGAGTGAGACTCCAACTCAAAAAAGAAAAAGAAAAATACAATACCTGGCCTATTCCAGTCACACACTAATAGAATACATACTATTCCTGGGGTCATAAAATACCTCAACAAATTGAAGTCATAGAGAGTATGTTGTCTGAATATGTATCATAGAACTAGAAATCAATAACAGAAGGATAACAGGTAGATCTTCAAACACCTAAAAATTAAACAATGTATTTCTATATAATCTATAGATCAAAGATGAAGTCTCAAGGGAAATTAAAAATGAAAATACAACATATCAAATTTGTAAATGCAGGTAAAACCGTGTTGAGATAGAAACTTATAGCACCAAATGTTTACATTAGAAAAGAAGGTCTTAAATCAATCATCTAAGCTTCCACCTCAAGAAATGTGGAAAAGAGCAAAGTAACTCAACACACGCAGAAGGAAGGAAGTAATAAATATAAGAGCAGAAATAAATGAAATTGAAAACAAAAACAATAGAGAAAAAACAATAAATCCAAAAGCTGGTCCTTGGAAAAGACCAACAAAATTTGTAATCCTCCAGCAAGACTGACAAAAAGAGAGAAGACACAAATTACCAATATTAGAAATGAAACACAAAGATATAACTGTAGATCCTGCAGCCATTAAAATAACATTAAGGGAATACCACAAACAACTTTGTATATATAAATTCAACAAATTGGATGTAATAGTTCAATTCTTCATAAAACACAAACTACCATAACTCACCCACTATTAAATACAGTTGAATATCCCTTATCTAAAATACTTGGGACCAGAAGTATGTTTGGATTTTGGATTTTTTCAGATTTTGGAATATTTGCATATACTTCATGAGATATCTTGGGGAAGGGACCCAAGTTTAAACATGAAGTTGATTTATGATTCATATGCATCTTATACATATAGCCTGAAGTTAGTTTTATACAATATTTTAAGTAATTTTGTTCGTGAAACAAAGTTTTGACTGGGCACATCACAAGGTCAGGTGTGGAATTTTCCACTTGCGGTATTATGTCAATGCTCAAAAATTTTTAGATTTTGGAGTATTTCGGATTTCAGATTTTTGAATTAGGGGTGCTCAACCTGTAGATAATCATAAAGGGTATTAAATAATCTGAATAATTATGTAACTATTATAGAAATTGAAGCCATGATCAAAAAGCTTCCAAATGGACATTTTCAGGTCCAGATGCTTTCACTGGAGAATTCTACCAAATATTTTTTTAAAACTTAGCACTAATTCTATACAATCTTACAGAAAATAGAAGAGGAGAAAACAATCCCCAACTAATTCTATGAGGTCAGTATTACTTTAATACTAAATCTAGACAAAGACAATACAAAAAAAGGGAAAACTATAGACCAACATCTCTCATGAATGTAGATGCAAAAATTGTCCACAAAAAGGTGTTAGCTAATCAATCCCTGTAATACATCCAAAGAATTATATATCACAACCAAGCAGGGTTTATTCCAGAAACACAAGGCTGGTTCAATACTTAAAAATCAGCTAGGTGTAGTGGCACACATCTGTAGTCCCGGCTACACAGAATGTTGAGGCAGAAGGATCTCTTGTGCCTAGGAGTCTGAGATCAGCCTGGGCAATATAACAAGACCTTATCTCTATTTTTAAAAATTAAAAATAAAATTAAAAAAAAACTGAAAAGTAAATCAGTGTAATCCTTCATATTAACAGGCTAAAAAAGAAAAAAAAATTACAAGCTTATATTAGTCATACAGTGTTGACAAAATTCAACACTCATTCATGATAAAAACTCCCCACAAATTGGGAATAGAGGGAATTATTCTCAACTTAATAAAGAGCATCTGAAAAAAAAATCCTACAGTTAACATTATACTTAATGGTGAGGGGCTGAATGCTTTCTCTGTAGGACTGAAACAATGAAAGGATGTCCACTCACACCACTCTTATTCAACAGAGTACCGGAAATTCTAGTCAGTGTAATAAAGCAAGAAAAGGCATAGAGATTGGAAAGAAATAAAACTGTCCCTGTTTGTATATGATATGATTGTTCATGCAGAAAACCCAAGGAATCTACCAAAAATGGTGTAAAACTAATCACTGAGCACAGTGAGACTGCAGGATACGAGAGCAACACACAACAATCAATTGTATTACTATACATAAGCAGGAAACATATGACAACCAAAATTTAAAAGGCAATATCATTTATAACCGCTCCAAAAAATTACATACTTAAGTATAAAGTTAACAAAACATGTACAGAACTTTTATGATGAAAATTACATTTCATAATTGAAAGAAATTTTAAAAGATCTAAATAAATAGAAAGACACTGCGTACATGGACTGAAAGACTTGACACAGTTAAGACTTTAATTCTTTCAAGTTGATACACAGATTTAACACAATTCCTTTCAAAATCCCAGCAAGATGCTTTGTAGACAGAGACAAGATTTTCTAAAATGCGTATGTGAAAGGCAAAGGAACCAGAAGAGCTACAACAATTTTGAAAAATAATAGAGTGGGAAGAATCGTTCTATCGATTTCAAGACTTATTATATTGCGACAGTAACCAAGACAGCGTGGTACTACTGGCAGAGAAACCAGAAACAGACCCCACATAAGTAGGGCCAATTTATTTTTGACAAAGGTGAAAAACAAGCCAATGGAGGAAGGATAGTCTTTTCAATAAATGATGCTTGAGTAATTGGACCTCCATAAGCAAATTAATGCACCCTGACCTAAGTCTCACTTTATACAAAAATTAACTCACAATGGATCGTAGAAAGCAGCAAGGAGAAACGGACAAATCACCATCACAGTGGAGAATTTCTCTTTCTTCTCTCAACAACAGAAGAAGCAGACAGAAAGGACAGATTTTGTATGCTAGAACTGACATAAACACATATTATTTTCCACTTATATACGGAACATTTCTAAAAATTCACGGACTAGGCCATAAGTCTCGTCATATTTCAAGGAATGAGCTTCACGTAGATATTTTTCTGACACAGAAAACTAAGGTTAGAAATCCGTTAAAAAGATAAACTTTTGGAAATTAAAAAACCCACTTTGAAAAACTCCTGGGTAAAAGACAAATGAATACAAGTTAACACTTAAAACACACTTAAAACATAATGCTCCAAACCCAACGGGTCTTAGAGTGAACTTTAAGACCTTAACGATATCAGAAAAGCCTGCAAAATAATGAGCGAATCGTCCAACTCAAGACAAACGATCACTGACCACAGAGAAGCCCCCAGCACGCACCCTCCCCAACCCCCCATCACCTCTACATCCCTCCGGCACTGAACGTCGAATCCTCCTGACAACTATCAAACCGCTGCCGCTTCCGGTCACTACCTCTAGCACCGCCCCTTCTCCGGGTTCGGGGCTTCGCGCGGGGGCGGGGGGCCGCGCGGGAGGGAGAAAGGAGCGGGTGTGCACATGCGCAAAACCACCTTCGAAGCCGCTGTTCGCCAAGAGTCAACATGGAGAAGTTACGGAGTGGATGCTTTAGGGCATTCGGTGCCCCTCGGCAGCGTTGTCAGGCGGGGAACATGGCCGCGCCGAGTTCGCTCTTTCCCGTGGGGTACACCATGTTGGAGGAGTGTCCATTCCGTACCGAGGAGGAGAACGCCTTTAAACTCACAAAGCAGGGGTGTGGAGCTGACCCACCGGTGGCGAGGAACAGGGGTGGGGACTTATCTTTGAGCGGGCTGACTGGATGAAGGAGGGATCTTTGGATCTGTAGTCCACGGATCTACGTAATGCCGTTTCAAGAAGCTGAGGGGCCTCTTGGAAAGACGCAGGGGCTGTTACCTTCTGGCAGAAACCGTAGGGTGAGAAGTAAGGCTGGTGACAGGCCTCTACGAGAGCATATCACAAGGGAAAAAGGAAGAGAAATCAGGGCTGTACACACCCCCCACCCCCGGGATATACCACGTGGTGGGAAAAGGGGAGAAGTCAGTATTCGATTCTCCCCTGCTGTGCCTGTGGGGCTTGGCTGTGGGGTTTGAATGCTCCCATAATCTACTTTATCACCCACCCCATACACCCCAACTAAAACAGAAGTATGTACCAATATGAACAATTTTGTATGTGACCTTAGTCTAATGCAACATGTCGATAAAAGCATCTTTAGGAAACTTTCTTTTTATTTCCTTGCAAAGTAAAATCTATGTAGTGATGGTCCCTTGCTTTGTACATGAAGCTTTAATATAGGACTCTGCCCTTCAGCCACTTTGCTGCCTCTTAGCACTTCCTACGAGGAAATTCTGGAGATGCCCCTGCCCTCTGGGAGATGTCACCAGAGCAGAAGGCGAATAAGTTGTGCCGTCCCTCACCTGAGAATGCCTATTCAGCCTTCAAAACAAAGTTCAAATATCTCCTCCTCCAGGGACTCTTGACAGAGGTAGAAAGCTCTGCACCCTGCTGAACGCCTTTCTGAATCGTCAGGTGAGAAAAGTATTTTGAAGGGACCTAGTGTAGGCTGAAATGTGGACTTGCTAGGGGTTCTCAATTCAGTCTTAACCCCTCTGGGCCTCAGTGTAACAATCTGGAATGTAAGAGGTATCCTAGTTCAATCAGCCTCAGAGCATCAGGGACTGATTTTTAGTCTAACAGATCCGTCGATCAATGAGGGACACATACACCAGGAGAACCATGGGGCAGCTCACTAAACAAAGAAAAAGATAGAGTCCTTATAGGAATGGTGAAGTTCAGATGAAACTTAAATGAAGCAGTGTTTTAGTGAGATCAACGAAAGCAGGGCTGTGTGGAAAGGGTCAGCATCAGGTCTGGACTGTAAAGTGAACCCAGAGTACTGTTTCCTTGGAAAGAATTAAGACTGATGTAGAAAGTTGTATCCCCAGATATCCCTTATCTGAAGCTCTGTACCTGAGTTGTAAATTGAGACTTGTCTCTGTATAAATGACTTAAAAGTCTCCTTTAATAGGCAGGTGTTTCACTCTTACTGCTATTATTTCAAAGAGCAAAGTTTGTGATAGTCTATGGTTGTAGAGAACAAAGTTTCTCAGTGACTAAGAAAGTAGTAGTTGCTTAAAACAGGGGTTCTTTATGGCATTACTACTGCAGCATGTGCTAGGGAGAAATTATATTCCATATAAATTTTGCATTTGGCTTTATATATGTCTGTTCTTCCAGCCTGGTGAATGGCAGGGCAGATTTTTATAGTCTGAGTTCATTTTTACTTTCTTAGAGGGTTGGTGTCTTAGTCTGTTTTCTGCTGCTATAACAGAATACCACACACTGGGTAATTTATAAAGAAAAGTTTATTTGGCTCATGTTTCCAAGAGCACGATGCTAGCATCTGTTGAGGGCCTTCTTGAGGCATCATTTGTGAAAGCAAAAGCAAGAGGGCAATCAAGTGTGTGCAAAAAGAAAAAGCACAAGAGACTGGGCTCACTTTATAACAACCTACTCCCTCAGTAACAGTATTAATAGATTCATGAGGGTGGAGCCCCCATAAACCACTGGTATATACTAACGGTGTGAGCCTAAAACAAATGATTGCCTCTCTCTGGGCCTCAGTTTCCTCCTGCGTAAAGTAGAGAGTGTGATACTACTACCTCAAAGGGTTGTTGTGAGGATTAAAATGGGACCATCCAGGGTACTTGGTGCACCGCCTGGCATGCCTTGAGAATGTGTTTGTGTGATTATATGGTTACTGGCTGCCTTTTCTGGGTAACCCTCTGCCTTGCTTCCTCTGCTCCTTCTGGTCTGCTGTATTATCACCCCCAGGGAAGCCTTCCCTGGTTCCCATTAACAATCACAGCCACTTCCACACCCTCCCACCCACTCCCCTTCCTCCTTTGCTGCTTTACTTTTCCTTCCATAGCACTCTTCGCCTTCTAACATGGTAGAATTGACTTGTTTTACTTATTTGTTTGTTGACTTCTTCCACCATGTGGCTTGGCAACTGTCCCCATCTCCCTAAGCACCAGTTCCTCCCAAGGTCCGTGGGCACCATCTGACTTACCTGCTTCGTGGGTCACTGTGGGGATTCAGTGAGAGAAGGACACATGCCAGGCTCTGGGGATGTAACCATAGCTTCCCTGGCAGGACCTGGCTGTATGTGCTTGAGGAGCAGGAAAGAGGAAGCCAGTAGGCTGGAGCAGGGTGAGCGGGCGAGAGTGGAGAGCAGGAAGGGTGGCCAGGTCAGGCAGGGCCTTGTGGTCACGGTGAGAATTTGGATTTTGACTCTGAGTCAAGGTCTCTTAGCAGCGGAGGGACATTGAACTGGTGTGCATGCCTGTGGTTCCAGCTACTTGGAAGGCTGAGGCAGAAGAATTGCCTGAGCCTAGTAGGTCAAGGATGCAGTGATCATGAATGTGCCACTGCACTTCAGCCTGGGTGACAGAGTGAGACTCGGACTTAAAAAAAAAAAAAAAAAACCCAAAAAACAAAACCCCACAACAACCTCATAGGTTTCTGTTACTATTCTCATCTTATGGGGGCTGAGAGGGAAAGTCAGTTATCCAGTGTGTTAGAATTAGAATTTGGACACAAAGTCATGGCTCTTAATCATTAAAATCCCGGGACTCTATTCTCCTTCTCTGAGTGTCTGTCCCTACTCTGAGTCATTGTCCCCTCACTCTCCACTCTTGCTGGGTCCCTGTCCACCCCGTTCTAGTGCTTTGGCCTGTCCCCCATCTTTCCCCCTCTGTCTAGGACTCTGTTCTTCTATCCCTGTTCCCCTCTATGTGGGTCCCTCTCCCCTCTCTGATTCCGTCTCTGATCTCACTAGGCTGATGTGGATGCTGCTATGTGTGGAGGACACCTTTCATGCTCAAAGATCTCTGCCACTTTTCCCCTCCAGTAGGACATCCTGGCTATTTCACCCATGAACTTAAACTTACCCCTGGACTGATAACTTCCTCAGAAGCTGCTATAAGATAGGACCTCATGTCCCTGCCCTCTTCGTGTGCTTTTGTGAGCCTTCCTGTTCCCCTTAGGGATATGGGGTAGTGGTTGCTCTACCTGTTTTTGCCAAAAAGAAATTGTTTAAAACTTTTCATCTTAAAAAACATTTTAAAGTTAAAAAAAGGACAGAAACACTTGCACAAGAAAACTAGGATATGCATATGTCTTAGTCTGTTTTCTGTTGCTTACAACAGAACACCTAAAACTGGGTAATTTATAAAGAAAGGGAATTTATTTCTTACAGTTATGGAAGCTGAGAAGTCCAAGGTTGAGGGCACACCCAGGTAAGGATCTTTGTGTTGGTAGGGACTCTCTGCAGAGTCCCAAGGCAGCACAGGGCATCACATTGTTAAGGGGCTGAGCATGCTAGCTCAGGTCTCTCTTCCTCTTCTTATAAGGCTGCCAGTCCCACTCTCATGGTAACCCATTGATTCATTAACCCATTAATCTGTTATTCCATGAATGGGCTAATCTATTCATGAGGGGAGAGCCCTCACGATCCAGTCATCTCTTAAAGGCCCCACCTCTCAATACTGCCACATTGGAGATTAAATTTCAACATGAGTTTTGGAGATGACAAGTATTCAAACCATGGCAGTATGGCCTCTTCTTCACAACAGCAAAATCTGGACACAAAATGGATGCTCATCAACAGGAGTCATAATGAATGAACCGGAATGACACCTAACAATAGGGATGAATATTAAGAGGGAAAAACTATAATCCCCAAATATTATATCAAGCATAACACACTTTTATAAACTTAAAAGCTACTAATATAAAGGACATGAACTATTTAAGATTTTGTATAGTTATAAAATCATATTAAAATATTAAAAATTGATGAGCTTGGGATTCAGAATGATATGTACTTCAGTT